GTTCGATCTCCCGCCAAGTCCCAAGAACATGGCGAGCCTGGTATGATGGGGAAAAGAGCATGGGTAGCATTTGGCAGCTGAGAATGGGCACTACTAGAGGAGCAGGGGAAGGGTTGGAGACAGTTTCTTTAATTGGAAATGGGTGAGTTGCTTTGCCTTTGGAGATGGTCTTGAGGAATTTGTAGTTACCTGGGGGGTGCTAACCAGGGCACTTATCACTGGGGTTGGGTAGGGTTATGTGGACTTTTTCTTTTAGCAACTGGATGGGTGTAACACGTGTACCCTTTAAGGATAGTAGAGACTAGGGGGTCAGTCAACCCGTTTGACGGCATGACCCTTTAAGGTTTCTAAACTCGTGGAGCAGATGAAGACTGAGGGGAAAGCAGAAGCAAGTGTTAGGAAAGAGGAAGTGGTCACAGGGAATAGCTAGTGTTTGGAGAAAACATAGACTATTGGCTGTTTAAGGGCTTGGGACTAGGAGCCTTGTAGGATGGGGCAAGGCTCCCCTCTTCCCCAGCAACCAGGATAAGCACCGTAAAAGAAGGCAGTATATAGTCTGCCTCTTCCCTCATAACAGGGAAGGACTGATCTCCTAGCTCATGGTCTAGGGCCTGCATTTCCAAAGGTATTTAGGTTCCTAAATTAGAAGCCTAAATACTTTTAGGGAAGTAGGCCTAAATAAAAAGAGGCCAGCTGGGAAAAGTTGATCTAGGGCTGTATCTGGTCTAAATCCACACAGCCTGAAGAAGGGCAGTGGGACCCTGAATGGAAGGGACTGAAAGGAGATGGGGTCAGATATAGGTTGGGGCTGAGTGATGTAATTCCTTGAATGCAAGGGCAGGGAGTTTGAACTCGATGCACAGGGCAATGAGGAGCCAGCTGGAGGATGTGGTCAGAACAAGGGTGAGAGAGAATTTTGGCAGGAGCATTTTGTATAGATTCAAGGGAGCTGATGTGAGTATCTACAGAAGCCCTGAGAAGAGGAGGATAAACAGGATGTGGCCATGGACTGGTGTAAGGGAAGGAAGAGTGGGAAGAGTTGATGTCCAGTTTATGGGCCTGAGTGGCAGGCATGATGTGGGTGTAAGCAGCCATAAAGTGGGTAGTGGAGAGAGCTAACAATGAGAGAAAATGAATCTGATTCTGTAGTGTGTTGTTGCTATTTTGTGCCATAGCAGCAGCCCTAAATCTGACTCCCCACCTGTAGAAGGGACATCTGTAGTCCATTTGGCAATGCCAGAAGCAGCATACACCAGTGGTTAGAGCAGTGCTCCTGATCTACTCTCTTCTCAACTGTGCCACTAACAAGTGCCACTTGACCTTCACCTTTTGTAAATTACCAGTTTTGTATCAGTACAGTAGGGTAATAACATTTACCTATCTCACAGGGGCATCATAAGGCTTAATTTAATTAATGTGTATGATTTTTGGATGGAAGGTGTTATAGCAATGCAAATTATAGCTAGTGCTTTCTGTAGTCAATGTTGAATATTATTCTAAATGCCTCATAGGCCTTGGCTACACTTACCCGGTAGTTCGACGGCTGGAAATCGAACTTCTGGGTTCGACTTATCGCGTCTAGTCTGGACGTGATAAGTCGAACCCGGAAGTGCTCGCCGTCGACTGCGGTACTCCAGCTCGCCGAGAGGAGTACCGCGGAGTCGACGGGGGAGCCTGCCTGCCGAGTGTGGACCAAGGTAAGTTCGAACTAATTCGAACTAAGGTACTTCGAACTTCAGCTACGTTATTCACGTAGCTGAAGTTGCGTACCTTAGTTCGAATTAGGGGGGTAGTGTAGACCAAGCCATAGAAATGCACAGAAAATAAATCTTTCTTTGCAAAATGCTTTGAAAATGTCTTTAAAATTATTATACTGTAAGAAATTGAGTAGTGCTTATGTCCCTTTACTGGCACAATTGGAACTGTTCAATTAAGGCTATGTACACACGACAGATTAAGTTGGTGTCACTTATGTATCTCAGGGTGTGAATAAGCCACCCCCCTGAGCAACGTAAGTTACACCAACCAAAGCGCTGGTGTGGACAGCGCTCTGTCGGCAAGAGAGCTTCTCCCATCGATGTAGCTACCCCTGCTCGCTGGGGCTGGAGTAATTAAGTCGATGGGAGGAGAGCTCTCCTGTCAGCTTAGAACGTCTGCACTCGCAGCGCTACTGTGGGACAGCTGCATCGGTGCAGCTGTGCCACTGTAAGCTCTGTAGTGCAGCCATAGCCTGAGTGCCATTGGCCCTAGGCGGTGAGTAGTGTTAACAAAAAGTTTCCATTAGCAAGAGATAAGGGTTTGTGCTACTAGAGGAACGGGAACTGAGTCCTAGCCCTGCTTTCACCATAAAGTTCTGAGATGCCATGAGGTGCAGCATAAGTGACAAAAGAGGCCATAGATGTATTATAATGTTATCACAGGCACATGTAGAGCCCATACCTGGCTACGCTGGGAGGTTGAAGGGCTGAGGTTTGCACCCATAACTTCCTTCTTCTGGCATTTTTTCTCTGTAATTTAAACAAACAACAACAACAACAAACAAGGCCGACTTCCTATGCATTTTTTTTATTAAAAATTGGGGGGAATAGTATATTTACCACTGTAACTTAATCCCAATAATGGTGGATCTCAAGAACTGTTTTCATTACTGCATGTTTGGATGGAACCTGTATCACTTTCATGGCTGCACTCCAGAAGTCCTAAGATCGTGGAGGCAGTTCCAAGTACGTTTGAACTCCCCCATGAATCCGAATCTCAGGCAAAACCCCTGGGTTTTGGTGTGGTGCTGGCTACAGTTAAGTTAAATATGAATACTATAAAAATGAACAAAAGTGAATCTTTCTTCACAATTTGCACAGTACTGTCAATGTGTTTGGTATCATGGGAGGCAGAGAGGACGATGTGGTGCCAGCTGTGTGATGGGCACCCTATAACACAATGTGGGGTGCCTGGTTCTATTACCATGGTGGATGCCTTACAACATAGAGAAGATACTGTCTCATGAATGTACTGGGTGCCATATAATGCATTGGGGGGGGGGGCCCAGTCCAGTTAGGATGTTAGGCACCCTACAACACATAGAGGGGGCTATGCTCCACCCCGCATGACTGTTATCCCCAGGCCAGGCAAGAGAAATATGGGGTCCCGGTATATAATTTTCACTTGGTCCCCACCCCCTCCCATTTCACTGTATTTACACAGATGTTGCAGAGTTTGCTATCTGCCTTGCATTCCCCTGTAGAGTTAGATATGCGGGGAGGAGAGGAGGGGGCATGCAGAGCAGTTTGTTTATGTACACTGGGATGTACACTGCAGCCTCCTGAAAGATCTCAATGAAACTTCCATGGAGATACACTGCAGCCGTATTTCTTCCTCCACCATAGGGCACTTTCCCATGCCAGTCGGCGATAACCTCGGCAAGCTTCATTGCAGTAAACAAGCTCGCGGCATATGGGCCCGGGCGACGTTGGGATGCCAGCAGCAGCTGTGCAGTCTCTGCCTTTATTACCCTCAGGAGTGAAATATCAACGAAAACCACCAGCACCTGTAGAAAATGGTGTCATACTCACCATGGCTAGAGCTAAAATTGGCACTGGGCACAAGCAGTCCAAAGCAGAAGTGTCCAGAAGCATGTCTTGTTTAACACTGTAGGGGCGCGAGGGAAGGGGAGAGTTCTGAATCTTAAGTTTTGCTTTCCATTCCTACTATACTGACAATGGTGCCTCTGTGTGTTTTATCTGTAGCTGTTGCCATTGCAGCTTGGAGGGGTACCCCCTCCACGCCACTAGAACAACTGACTCAGAAAAGGAGGAGGGAAAAAAAGATGTAGGACGCTATGTTCTGCAAGATCCTGCAAGCCAGTATTGCATCAGGCCTTGAACAGAGGGCCTGGAGGGTGAATACTGAGACTTTATGGTGAAGGAAAGAACAGACAGGAGAAAGGGCAGGAAAAGGAGAGGGAGATGCATCAGGACATAATGGGGCTTCTCAGTCACCAAACTCAAATACTGAAGACTCTTGTGGACCTCCAGATTCAACAATCCAGCATTCGACTCCAATTGCAGTCTGTGGAAAACTGCAGCGTAGCACTTCCCTACCTCGCTCCACCCCCCGATTCCACATAGCCTCAGGCAGTATTCCCTCTAATTTTTTTACATCCATGTGCGGACTGAATTTTGTTATGTGCACCAATATGGAGGTGATGTGTGGCAGGGGTGGGGCTGAGGGGTTCAGAGTGTGGGAGGGGACTCAGGGCTGGGGCAGATGGTTGGGATGCAGGGGGTTGAGGGCTCTGGCTGGCAGTGCGGACTCTGGGGTGGGTCTGGGGATGAGGGGTTTGGGGTGTGGGAGGGAGCTCAGGGCTACAGCAGAGGGTTGTGGTGTGGTGTGGGGGTGAGGGCTCTGGGGTGGGGCTGGAGATGAGGGGTTTGGGGTGCAGGCTGCCCCGGGGCTGCGGTGTGGAGAGAGGACTCCCCCCACCCTCTCTTGCTGCAGAAGCCCGGGGCTGAGGGAAAGCACCTCTCCCCACCGCAACAGCTCCAGAGGGCTGTGGCTGTGGCCAAGGCAGCTCTCCTCAGCCATAGCAGCTCTGGTTGTGCCAGGACTAGGAGAGAGGGAGAAGCACCTCTCCCCAGCCATGGCAGCTCCGGCAAGGCCAGAGGAGAGGCACCTCTCCCTTGCCGCAGCAGCTCTGGTGGGGCCGGGGCCAAAGCCTCTCCCCGCTGCGCGCCTGCACGGCCCTTAATAGCCTGCTGCACGGCCCTTAATAGCCTGCTGCACGGCCACGCAGCTTAGTGGGAACGTAGGCCTCAGTACCCGCATGCCTACCACTCCATACCGCGGGAAAGCAGAGACAACCACAGCTTCACATACATCAACCATGGCTCTCACAGGTACATTGGACATCAGTGTTCCTTCCTCTTATTTACTTATTCAAGTTCTTATAGTTTACTTCAAGTTCTTCAGATTTTTTTAGCTGTTCTTGTAAATGAATAGATCGCTTTTGTTTTAAAAAGTTGTTCACCTTTATTAGATGACAACACATGGTGTATAATGCCTGCTGGCAGTGAACGCAGTGGCCTTGTACACTCACAACCCATAAGATCAGTGCCAAACAGTGTAGTCATCATAAAATGTACAGGAAGCACCCCAATGTAATAGGAGCACTGCCAGTGATACATGTATAGATATGCAGAAAGCACCACAAGATTCCTAACAGATCCTCAAACTGCGGCACCAGGCTGAGCACCTGGTTATTGTGGCTTGCTATTATAGTGCTCTTTCAAAGCATCCCTAAGCCATATCACTCCTCACTGAGCTAATCTGATAGCCCTTGTGTCTGGCTGTTCAAACTCAGCACACAGCCGTCCCACCTCCAACTCTTCAGCAAGTTTTCTCCTTGGGATATTTTTTGCACTGAGACCCCATCTGGTGAGTAAACAATGCCAGCAACCTTTCAGTCAACCAAAAAGCATATTCAACTGTCATTCTGCACCTGAGCCTATAGTTGAATCTTTCCTTGCTGCTGTCAAGGTGGCTGGCGTACGGCTTCATGAGCCAGGGGAGTAAAGAGTAGGCTGGATCCCCCCAGGATCATTATTGGTATTTCAACATTACCAGTGATGATCCGCTGGTTGGGAAAGAAGTTCCTTGCTTGTAGCTTTCTGAAGAGTCCTGTGTTCTTAAAAATGAGGGCATCATGCATCTTCCCTGACCAGCCCCCACTGATATCAGTGGTGGTGGTCCATCAGCTCTTGTACAATCATGAAAAAGTACCCTTTTCTGTTGATATGCTCTGGGGCCAAAATAGGGATGTGCATGCTTTCTATTGCCCCACTGCAGTTTGAGAACCCATAGCTGCAAAGTCATCCACTATGTCCTGCACATTGCAGAGAGTCATAGTCCTGCATAGCAGGAGACAATTAAGAGCCCTGCACACTTGCATGACAGCAGAGCCCAGAGTGGATTGTCCCACTCCAGAATGACCTCCCACTGAGCTGTACCAATCCGGCATTGCAAGTTTCCAGTGTGATTGCCACTTGCTTCTCCGCTGTCAGTGCAGCTCTCAGTTTGGTATACCTGCGTTGGATGGCTGGGGCAAGCACGGCAGACAGATCCAGGAATGTGGCCTTGCACATCCAAACCTGCATTACAATACAATTTCACCAGGCAGTGCTTGTATCTCAGCCAGAAGCAGCACTCCATCCTGCTCCATGAACAGCAACAACAACCTTGAATTAGTTCTCACTACATCCCATAGCAAATTGACCAGCAGGAAATTGTCATGTTCCCTGCGGCTCTGCCAATACCAGAGGATCATGTGTCCTGTGCTTACAATGTTCATGACAATAGTGCAGAGCTGTGCAGGCTCCATGTTTCTATCACAGATTGCAGACACCAACAAGTCCTGTGTGGGTTTATGGGAAATTGAAAAGAGACACCAAAATTATAGAGATATTATGGGATAGGATATCATTGCATTACAAGAAGTTGACCCCTTGCTCCCAGTCACCCCTGTGTGAGCTGTTTCTGCCCCACTATGCAATGCCAAAACTTCACAACAAAGAGTGCACTGAATGGTGGCAAGTTGCACAGTTGGTGTGTCTGGGTAGTTCCTAAATCTGTGAAGATGAGCATGGAAATCCATTGGTTTCTTGGTTTTGATGTCAGTAGGATTCCATTGTTGAAGCTGATCATGATGTCCAGGAAGTTGATGCTAGTGTGGGAGAGGGAGAGTTTGATGGATGGGTTGTGGTTGTTGAAGTTGTGGTGGAAATCTGAGGGAGTTTAGGTCATCTGTCCAGAGGATGAAAATATTATTGATGTAGCACATTTATATCTTTGGTTTCATGGTACACTTGTCCAGAAATTCTTCTTCAAGGTGTCCTATGAAGAGGCTGGAATATTGGGGAGCTATCCTACTACAGCCAGCTGTTCCCACGGATTGGACAAAGTGTTTGTTGTTGAACATAAAATTCTTATGGGTGAGGATGAAATGGATGAGTTTGGCGATGTGTTTGGGATGGATATCTGAATATTGTCCATTGTCTTTTAGCTATTTAAGGCAGGCACTTATTCTGTCATTATAAGAGATGGTGCATAGGGAGGTGACATCCATGGTGGCAAGGATGGTGTTCTGAGGGAGACTGTTAATGTTGTGGAGTTTCTAGAGGTAGTCAGTTGTGTCCTGGAAGAAACTGGTGCTTTGTATGGTGACTAGTTTGAGGATAGTGTCTACAAGTCCTGACAGTCTTCAATAAGAGTGCTGTGGCCAAATACATTGGGTCTGCCTGGATTCCCTTGTTTGTGTACCTTGGGAAGTATGTAGAATGTCCGTGGGGTGGTTCGTGGGGATGAGGTCGAAGAGTTTCTCCTGAAGTTGTTGGGGGCACGGCAGAGGAGGCAAGTTCTTTTAAAGTGTTTCCTTCTACCTACTTGCACAGCTTTAGTCTTGCTTGGCTTCAGCATTTGCCAGCTATCTTTCATCCTGGTGCAGATCTCCATTTGGCATCAAGAGAACTTTTACACATCCTGTAAAAGAGAAATTGAGCTGAGAGCATCATCTACACGCTGCTTCCCTTTCATTCGGTGTTTACTTTACCAATCAACGCCCCAGCCTAACGGCTTCCCGTGGATGAGGTGCAGCACTGACCCAACCTGGAAGAACGCTTCAGGAAGCAGTTCTGGGAGTGGAAGAACATTTGCGGGCCTGTGGGTTTGGCACTTACGTTCCCTCCTGTAGCTTGCTGGAGGCGGGAGGGGCATTTTGTGATCAGAAGTGCTGAGCGCTGCAGACAGAGCCAGCGGGATGAATTCAGACAAGGCCCTGGCAAGTCCCCACCAGCGCAGCAAGGGCTGACCCTGCCTCCCACCGCGGCCACGGGCACGCTGGCAGACATGGGACCGCGCCGACACCCCACTTCTGCAAACTGCGGCATCGCAACACTAAGAGACCTGTCCAAGGTCCCAGCCAATCGGGGCAGCGCTGGTGATTGAACCCAGGAGTCCTGGGGGTCCCAGCTAGTCGATGGGGCAGCGTCAGCAGCCCTTAGCACTACGAGGGCTGGCCCCGGGGCACCGCCTGGGACCCGCCCGAGCTGGCGCTAAGAAGACACAGGCAAGGCGGCACAGCACCACGTGACCTTTTATGCCAGCTTTCCCCTTGTGGCGCCAGGAGGGAGGCGTGTCACGTGATGGGGGGGCGGCGGAGGAGGAGCAGAGTGAGCTACGTGACCCGTGCGGGGCGGGGCCGGGCCGTGAGGGGGGATTAGTCACGTGATTCGGGCGGCCCGGAACGATCCGAGGAGGCGCTGTGCGGCCGCCATTTTCCTGCGGCGCCCAGTGAGCGTGTGTCCCCCGACCCCGGCCGAGCGGAAGGAGCGAAGGGCGGGGGCGGGGGGCAGGAGGAGGGGTCGCTGCCCGGGTGACAGGGCCGTCCCCGGGGGCGGAGCGCAGCTGCCCGCGGCGGGGCAGAGCGACGTGTCTGAGCGGGTCCGTCCCTCTGTCCCGTCCCGTCCCAGCCCGGCGCCGCGCGGCCCCGCAGCACCATGTCCGGCCAGAGCCTCACCGACCGCATCACGGCGGCGCAGCACAGCGTGACCGGCTCGGCCGTCTCCAAGACCGTCTGCAAAGCCACGACGCACGAAGTTATGGGCCCCAAGAAGAAGCACCTGGACTGTGAGTACCGGGGTGTGTGTGGCAGAGGTTCCCCGGGAGCCCTGGGGTCTGTGAGTACCGGGGTGTGTGTGGCAGAGGTTCCCCCGGGAGCCCTGGGGTCTGTGAGTACCGGGGTGTGTGTGGCACAGGTTCTCCCGGGGAGCCCTGGGGTCTGTGAGTACCGGGGTGTGTGTGGCAGAGGTTCTCCCCGGGGAGCCCTGGGGTCTGTGAGTACCGGGGTGTGTGTGGCAGAGGTTCCCCGGGAGCCCTGGGGTCTGTGAGTACCGGGGTGTGTGTGGCAGAGGTTCCCCCGGGAGCCGAGGTCTGTGCGGG